AACACAAATGTTGAGTCACTTTGTGTGTCCAGCATTGCATATGTTAGTATTTCTCTATGTGGCTCTTGTAGTGAAGACACAAGTACTGGTACAATACTGGTGGTGGCAGAAGTATGCTGTGTTGAAGTATGGGACACAACTCTGTGTGTTTCTTGGCTTGAAGGTGGTTCTGTGGAAGTGGAGCTATTTGTTGTTGTCTCACAGGTTTTTCCTTCCTCTCTTCATGTAAGCAGGTTGGATGACGACGTCTGCATATATTGCATGTGTGTCGTCTCCTACAATCCTTGGTCACATGACCCCTTCTCAGGCAACCAAAGCAGAGCCGATTTTCATGTATGAATGTCCTCTTATCTTCAACAGTCTTTGAAGCAAAAGCGGGACACCTGGTGATGCCATGGTCCTCACTTTTACAAACATAGCACAGTGATTTTGGTTTACAGCTATTTGTATCTTGTGCCCTATGACTGAAACCTTTTTGTTGTGCATTTGTGTTGAAAGTTTTGGCTCTCTTTGGGGTTCTGTCATCTGCAAACTTGAAATTGCCCAACAGGGGTGAGGCGATGGGATTACACGCTATCTTTGCCTCTTTGCTCAAAAACTCTGTGAAGCATTTAAAATCTGGATAATCACCTGATTCATCAAGTTCATCCACTACTATTCGACTCCACTTGCGAACAATCCATTCAGGTAATCTTTTGAGCAAGGAAGTCAGAAAACTCGCGTAGTGCAAGTGAGTCATTTGCATTGATCTTTGGCCATCTTGCAAGCTTGTCACGAAAAGCTTTCTGTATAATGAAAGCGTTGCCATATCTGTCCTGTAAGACTTTCCAAGCACCAATGTATGCACTTTCTGAGTCACGGTAGAAGAAACCTTCAACAGCTTTGCGTGCTTCTCCAGCAAGATAGTTTCTGAGATAAAACATCTTCTCACTAGCTGGGAGGGGCTTTCTGTCAATAAGAGTCATAAATGACATTTTCCAATCAGTAAACCTTAAAGGATCTCCACTGAATACTGTGGGTTCAGGGACTGGTAAGCGACTCATGCTTAATGAGCTGGCAATTGCTTCAGCTAGATTGGATGTCTCTGGATTTGTTGTCACCTCTGGAGCTGATTGGTAAGGCTGGAAAAATGCAGCATCTGGATTTAAGCAGGGTTTATCTCTAGAGAAGACAGGGTTAGTTCTGTAATTAAGATCTTCAACTTCTTCAACATTGCTTACACAGCGTTCAAATTCATCGTATGCTCTCACACGAGCTGCTGCTACAGCTATTTCCTTTTCTTCTTTTAACCGCTGCAGTTTTGCTCTTTCTTGATCCAGTTGTTGTTGCATTTCCACTTCTTTTTGCTTCATTTCTGACAGCATCTTTGACTCTTTAAGTTTCCATTCGTTTTCTAATTTTTGGAGCTGTGCTTGTTGTGCTTGAATTTCTTTTGTGGCCTTTGATTGTTCCACTTTAGCAGCAAGCTCTGCTTGTGCATCTGCTTTGTTGTCATTAGTACTAGATGAGTTGGAATGGCTGCTTGAACCCTCTGATGATTTAGATGAGCTTACAGTTTCAGTTTGAGTGTGACCAAAGATAGATCCATATTCATCTTTGTTTAATGTTTCTCTTACTCTTTCTTTCTCAAGATGACTATTATAATCTTTATCAATAGTCTCTGTACGATTGTTTATGAGGTCACAAATTTCTTTTGTGAGCGTAACACAGGCTTCCATCTTTTTGACAATCTCTGCTGTGGTGTTACTGTTACGTAGAATGGGTTCGTACTGTAGTCTTACAGCCTCATATTTTGCTTGAATGGTTTCCTGTAAATCATTGAGTTCTTCTAATGTACAGAGGGCCTTTAGTTTTTTCCTACTTTCTCTTGCCACCCACTTCCAAGAATCATAGACCTTGTGGAACGTTTTCTCATGTTTTTTGTTCTCTTGGATGTGCATCTCTTGGCCTTTTTCTGTTAGTTTTCTTTCTCTGGAGCTAGACCTGAGTGGCATGTCTACAGCATTATCTGTTTTCTCTGTTGGAAGTGACATTTTTGCTTTCTTCAACTGCTTTGGGTTCACTGAAGACACACTACGCCAATTCAGTTATGTTGTGAGCTTGTTCATGTGATGGTCCACTTTAACTTTATGGTTTAACTTGCCTGTGTGAGATCATTGGTCCGACTGGAGACAGCTGGCTTCCAGAAAGGATGGTGTCAGCTTCACTGCCGAAAGATCTGGTCTCTTGCGGTGAGTTTTCACTGTAGCGGGAACTTGGAATAAACAGCCAGACGCAGGGAGTTCCAAACGGGTGCAGTTTAATCTTTAGACACCGTGAAAACTCATTCTGCTTTCCAAGGGCGCTATTTTAACGATTTTCTTTAGCTTTCTTCAGGATCTAACGCTGACTCATCACGCTTAGCAAGAACAGGAAGTGCAGAACCACAAAACACACGAAGAAGTCTAGCGTTATTCAAAATAAAAGCACAAATTAACCACAAGGTGTCACTGTTTAACTAATGAACAAGAAGGAGAATTTTAACATTTAGTAGCCATTTACAATTTCAACAAATGCTTTGGTTTGTGCGAACCTATCTATGTGAGAAACAATAAAATTTGTGTGCCCAAAACAGGCAGGAATACGGCAAGACTGTATCTATTCTCACTTGCAAAGGTAAAATAAAAGGCCGGCCGGAATGAGGAAAGCCATTTTCAATTTCCTTTTAATATAAGATAACTATATTAACGGCGACCTATTGACGGAGGACACAGCTTCATTTAAATGCAGGTTTTACTGGTTTGCTGCATAATCATCAAACTGACAGAAAAGCACAAGTTAGTAAGAAAAAAAAAAAAAGACAATTAATTGCAAAAGGGAAGGTTCGCTTTATTCAAATTATTTGATTTGAATAAACAAATTTATGTTCAAGAAAGGGGAATTTGTATTATTGTGGCTTAGAATCACAATATTTGCAGATTATTCTCACACCTGTCTCCTACAGTTGCAATAAAGAGAGGCTTAAAAAGACATTAGGTTTTACTTAAAAAACAAAACAAAAACATACATAACAAAGAGATTTAAATTTTTCTAAATTTAACGTTATATGAGCTAGTGATGAATTAAGTTTAGGACCCCAATGCAACTTTAGAGCATGATAGACATCTGGGGTTCACTTTTGTCATAATCCTGACAGCATAGAACTGCTGCAGAGTCAACAACTCAATGTAAGCAAATATCAAGCGCATATGTGCTCATCCAGACGGCGAACATTTAGCAAAGTCAGAGGCTCTGTTCGAAAACCTGGGCTGCATCCTCCAAGGACACGGTCTACTTAGACTGGATCCTTCCAAGTCCTTGAAAATAAGGAGACCGGAAGAGTTTTGGCTGTGAATTCGAACAGGTCCTCCCTTCGGCGGGTTTTACCGCCATATGCTCTGTTGCTTAGCAACTGTGAAAGTTGACGCACAAAGCAGGAAAAGAATGAAAACCGAAGTTTTCAAAACTGTTTATTTATTTATTTATTTTTTATTATAAAGTGAACAAAGACTACATTAACAAGAATCCAGAGTGGAATAAAGGTTCCAACCACCGGGAGCAGGAACAAATAAAATCAAATGTAATGATAGAAACCTTAGTCAGTTAAATAACCTGCTGCTGTCATTCTGCACATCTCTGATGTTGCTGCTATTTTCAAATATCCATCACTGTAAAAATGTCCATAGCTGCATATTGGTTATTTATTCTCCAGTTTTATGTTGTTAAAACACTTTACAGTATTTTATTGTTTATCTTTTAACTCTTCCCTATCATGTTATTCTTAGACATTTTTCTAAGGTCCTCATTTGTGTGACCATTTTCAATAATCTTTCTGCTGCTGTATATTTGCCCATTGTGGGACAATAAAGGGATTTTCTACTCTATTCTATAAAAGGGGTAGAGAGATATAAGTAAATCTAAACAATGTATGTCTAAAAATATATCTGCAAAATCTCTAATATTCAACGAAAAAAAAATACTTAGTTAAGCATATTGTGCAAAACAGCAATAAAAAAAATTAAACTCCTATCAGATTTATAGTTCCCACTCTGCAGATATATTAGAATCTGTCCTTAAATTACAGCCAAACCCATTTACACAGTAACAGATTAAAACCTTTAGATAAACCAAACATTACCGCCACATATCTGACTCTATAACCATTAAAACAACTATTTTCATTCATTTCAGACGGAACTATTCATAGATTTGTATTATATTAAACGGAACTTCCAATTTTCACCACTGTTCTGCGCCAAGTAACCTTTACTCTGATCACGGAGCAGCCGGCTTGCTTGGTCTGGCAATGAATCCTGCGTAAACCAAGGATACCAAGGATACATCGGACCCGTCCTTCATATCGGGCAAAAAGAAGGACGCATTTAAAGGTCGCATAACGAGGACTCTTGGAATCCGACCAGACCTCGGCGCCGCGCTATGACGTAATCGTCCTTCGAATCCGGCCTTCTAAGGACGCGTCCCAGGTTTTCGAACAGAGCAAATGACTGGAAGCCGTCTGCTGTGTTTCCTTTGATCTGTAAAAGGCCTTGAGGTAACATTTATCCTGCACTTGCTGCTATTGCACTTTTGGTTAGACCTAAACTGCATTTCGTTGCCTTGTACCTGTACCTGTGTAATGGCAATAAAGTTGAATCTAATCTACGGTAATCTAAAACATGTGGTGGGAACCGTTACTATATAAGTAAACAAAGTTCGCATGAAAATTATACTTTTTGATATAACAAACCTCTGGATTTTGTCTAGGTGTACTATTAAAAAGGGGGTGAATAAAAAATACGGAGTACAATTAAACATAAATATAATACATTTTTCTTTTTCTAAACCATAAAAAAATAATTACAATTTTTCTTCCTTTTCATAGTCCATGGTTGTGGATGTTACATTAGAGAATCTTAATTTCTGAAGTTTGGTTACTTTGGCAAAGCTCTGAAATTTAATGTCAGCGATATTTAAGTCATTACCTCGATGTTCCAGACCAGAACCAGACCATCGTCCCCCGCTGAAGCAAACCTGGAAGACAAAAAGGACATCATGGGTTCGGGCTGAGCCAGAATCAATACTCAGCCTCTCTCCACTCATAGAGGGGATGATTTCCCCCTCATCTTTGCTTAGGAAACCCAACAGAACGTGGGACTCGTCAGCTTATCGCCTCCACTCGCCCTCTGACCCTGAACCATCCGCCCCGCCTGTTCCCAAAGATCAACACAGGATGAGCTGATGAAACAGAGATTAAATGAAAAGGGAGAAACTGTTGAGGATATATTTCTTGGACTTCAGAAGCAATCTGGAGGGAATTTTCTGGCCTTTGCCCTCCACCCTCCCAACCGCGAGCCTTTGAGGCGGGAAGACGAAGCCCCCTAGGAGGAGATTATTACTGCAGCAGACCAGGCGTAAAGCAACCCCCACCTCCTGACACATACACACTTACTTAGCTCCGTTATAAAACCCCATCTGACCACTTATGCTGACCCACTCTAGCATGCCAGGGTGCAGCGCAGGTTCGTTTTATTTTTACAAAGAGGAGGACAGCAGGTGCAGCACCTTTCCATCTGTGTGTGGACGGCTTTAGAAGTCTACTGCGAACACACAGTCACCTTCTGGTGATGATGGGCCTCTTGTCATGCTCTGTAAGTTTGCTGTAGGTGAGGATCTCCTGTCAATCGCAGGGGGATGGAAGCCAGCCAAGGGTGGAGAGGTTAGAGTAAAAAAAAAAGGGTGGTGTGAGGGAGGGGGGTTGTGGTCAGCTTACCTGAAGTCATCAATCTTCACCAGAAATCGAACGATGTCAAAATGTCCTTTCAGCACCTGCAGCTCAGTGAAGCAGTTTTTGGGCTGTTCCTCTCCGATGCACAGCACGGAGCTTTTCTGCACGCACAGGAGAGGGAAGGAGCGAGGCGGTTAGGGGACAGATGGATGAGAGACAGCGGAAATATTTTAGTCAACTTCCTATCAGTAAGCCTCCATTTCTTAGACCAACTCCTGTAAATGAGCTGCTGTGTTAACCATCATTACATTAGATTAAATTTATTTTCCCAAAGGAAATTTGATTTGGGTACCGACTCTGGCTGCTACATAGTCCAAACTATGGGTCACACTGCATTCATACATAAAAACACTGCTATAGAAATACCATTATAAGACAATAAATAAATACATGAGGAAGCATTCATAATACAAATCTGTTATATGAGATAATGAAAACATAAAAAAGCATGTCAGTTTAGTTTAAATGTGGAATACCATTGCCTTTTCCACAATTTACTGCTTGATAATGTTTATTACCTTAATGGAAAGCGGAACAAACGAGTTCAATCTACAGCGACTCTAAGACGGCGACCTGAAGGAAGAAACTGATACTCTGACTAAAGAATATGACCTGGATCTGAGATGATTTTCTGGGCTCGTCTGGTTTCATTCGAGATGGTCTGAAGGTAGGTTTCTGCTTGACTCCCGTCAGCTTCATTGCTCTTTGAGTCAGGCAAGTAAGTTCGGCCTTCGTTTGGACAGACAGGTAACCAAACTAGGCAGAAGTGCCGTACCTAATGATGCTCTCTATAACAGCATGCTATAAGAGCAGCATGACTTTCTGACTGTATGGAAGTAAATCTGTGTCGCTGAGATTTAAATTAAAAATGCCACTGAAATTTAAATGCTGTATGTTTGTACTTACTGTTTCAGTGTTAAAATATATTCAGAACACATTTTTTACCTAAAAAAAAGTTAATTGTCATTATTTCTACACAGTTGAAATTTAATTTGTTTTCTCTTCAAGCTTAAAAATCACATTACTATTTCAAAGTAATTACATTTTCAATACTTATTTTTCAGTTTAATATTTCAGTGTTAAAAAAATGCATATAAAAAAATTCAACCTTTCAAAATTCAAACTCAAAATTTTCAGCCTCCTGAGATTCAACTGGCTCTGTTTCACTGTCTTAAATTCGGCGTCTAAATTCAGTGTAAAAAGGGAAGGGTTACTTCAGGTCAGAGAAATTAGCAATGGATTGTGGCGTCCAACACCCAGCCAATCCCGTTACGGTTTCTTAGTCACGTGACGGTTGTGGCGCTAATACTGAAGTAAAAACCAGCATGACGGAGCCGGTCATGCAAGCTAACGCTAACTCAACGGTGAGTTTATTACTTTCATTTTCTGTAGTTGAGTCCCTTTTTACACTGAATTTAGACGCCGAATTTAAGACAGTGAAATAGAGCCAGTTGAATCTCAGGAGGCTGAAAATATTGAGTTTGAATTTTGAAAGGTTGAATAGGGCTCGGGATCCACGTTCCATTGTGGGACGTGGCGGCCATATTGACGGCTACGCAAACGTAAACATAGCTCTGATACAACGTTGTTGTTGAAAGAAGAGATGTAGAAGTAGAGAGAAAAAAGATGTTAAAATCCCGAAAAAGATCTGGAATTTACCAGGACACATTAAATAGAGAAGCCACGGACCAGTATGTTGACAAAATCAGCATTATTAATAATTTGGATCCATATGAAGTTCCAAACAATGAGTGGAGCACCGATGAGTGAGCGCCTATACTTCAAAACAGTTCCAAGCTACAAGTCCTTGGAGTCTCATATGCAGTTCATGAATGGATGGGTTTAGGAGCTGCAGATCATAAAGCCAGCAAACAGTGGGAACACAGTAATCCGTACAAAGGTACGCTGTGCTTAGATGGGCTCTGGAACCTGGTAGTTTAGCAACTGCTAACCGCTAATGCTAACAACCACTCACGCATGTAATGTACTTTTAACTAGCTGCTATGTGTTTCAAAGGTGTAGTTAGTAACGTTAACTGCCAACCCTCCGGTTTTCTCACGTATTTGAGCCTTTTCACGCTGCCGTTTTTATTATTTTCCCGTAAAAGGTCCCAACCTTTAAAGGAATAGTACACCCAAAACATGATTAGCCTTCATTTTCTACTGACCCCCATGCTGAACAACACTCTGGAGTACTTTTTTGATATCACAAATGCATCTGGAGATCTGGGAGGCTTCTTGCTGTCTGCTGACATTCAAATAATGGAGGTCCATGGTGCCCGAGACAGAAAGGTCCATAAAAGTCCACAAAAAACGTGTCAATATTCCTCCATACTGCTCGTCCAATGTATTCCAAGTGTCCTGAGTGGGTAGCATCCAGAATTTACTCGAAACGAAGTCATTTAGAATGTTTTTAGAGCATAAACAGTAGTGTATAGGATTTCCTAAAAGCGCGTTCACGAGCCTACGGAAACCGCGGCAGACCAAGCCAGATGAAAGTGCGCATTCAGCTCGGCAAAGAACTCATGCTCTTCCTCAACACTGAAGTCCTCAGACATTTTTCTTTCGTTGTTTCTTTCTTTGCACAGGTAAACAGCACATTTCTTCTTCTACGCTTGCATTATCGGCAGAGCAGACGCTGAATGCGCACTTTCATGTGGTTTGGTCTGCCGGCTTCCGTAGCGTCGTGAACGCGCAGGCGCACGCTTTCAGGAAATCCTATACACTACTGTTTATGCTCTAAAAACATTCTAAATGACTTCGTTTCGAGTAAATTCTGGATGCTACCCACTCAGGACACTTGGAATACATTGGACGAGCAGTATGGAGGAATATTGACACGTTTTTTGTGGACTTTTATGGACCTTTCTGCCTCGGGCACCATAGACCTCCATTATTTGAATGTCAGCAGACAGCAAGAAGCCTCCCAGATCTCCAGATGCATTTGAGATATCAAAAAAGTACTCCAGAGTGTTGTTCAGCATGGGGGTGAGTAGAAAATGAAGGCTAATCATGTTTTGGGTGTACTATTCCTTTAAGGAAAGTAACAATGTAGGCTATAAAATAAAACCGCGCATCTTTAACTTACCAGAATGAAAATGCAGGGAACACACTCTCATTAACATCGGGATACTGTGGAAAGTTATGTTTGGTCGTCTTACAGCCGCGATCCAAGCTAGCCGACGACTCTTTGTTATCTCTGACACTTGGTCTCCATGGTTACGCCTCCAGGCAGGAAAGCGGTGGAAAATTAACTCATTTTCTATGTTTTTCCCATGCCGATCATGTGTTGAGCTGTTACAGCCCACAATACAGCAACCGTTTACCATGGTTGAAATCAAGTTAAGGTGAAATTAATCAAATTAAAACACGGCTGAGAGGGAGTACAGTACGCGGTAGTCATAGGCAGTAGTCTGAGCAGCGGTAAAAGAGGCATCCAAGATGGCGGCGACGCAAAGTGCTTACGTCATGACGACCAAGCCCTATTCAGTGTAAAAAGGAAGGGTTACTTCAGGTCACAGACATTAGCAATGGATTGTGGTGTCCAACACTCAATGGTGAGTTTATTACTTTCCTTTTCTGTAGTTGAGTTAGCGTTAGCTTGCATGACCGGCTCCGTCATGCTGGTTTTCCTTCAGTATTAGCGCCACCAGCGTCACGTCACGTGACTAAGAAAGCGTAACAGGATTGGCTGGGTGTTGGACGCCACAATCCATTGCTAATGTCTGTGACCTGAAGTAACCCTTCCCTTTTTACACTGAATTTAGACACCGAATTTAAGACAGTGAAATAGAGCCAGTTGAATCTCAGGAGGCTGAAAATATTGAGTTTGAATTTTGAAAGGTTTAAATTTTTTATATGCAGATTTTTTTAACACTGAAAAATTAAACTGAAAAATAAGTATTGAAAATGTAATCACTTTGAAATAGTAATGTGAATTTTTAGCTTGAAGAGAAAATAAATTAAATTTCAACTGTGTAGAAATAATGACAATTTTTTTTTAGGTCAAAAATTTGTTCTGAATATATTTTAACACTGAAACAGTAAGTATAAATTTACAACATTTAAATTTCAGTGCCATTTTAATTCAAATCCCAGCGACACAGATTTACTTACTTCCATATGACTGACACCAAAGGCCCAAATGTAGCCGCTGCTGGACCCTGTTGCAGACATAATCAACTTGATCAGTCCATGATAATTTATTGTTAATTTTTAATCCAAGATATTTATAGGAATCTCTTTGGACAATTAATTGATTATGGTTGACAACTAGAGAGTGGTCTCCAACTGCCCTCGGGTCACAAAAATCATCAGAATCAGCATGGCAGCTAAAAGCAAACTACCTCTTACCATCTGCATGAATCCATCATGTTAATGAAATGAAATCATTATATTTAATAAAATATCATTGCTATGTTTATCCAATATACTTATCATGCTGCAATAAACCACATTAAAGAGTGAAGATGCTACATTCTGGCCTCTTTGATTTACAGGAACAGAGAGCAGAAGTTGGGCAGGGACCTAAGAGGAGGTGGAAATTGTCTTCCTGTTTTCATTGTTTTTTTGTTCAGTTTAGTCCTGAGCTATCTCTATAGTTATGCTGCTATAGGCTTAGACTTCTGGAGGACATAGGGACCCCTATTTCATCATTTTGCTTCATTCTAGCTCTATTCTCCCGCTCTGCAGAATCTGTTAGTTCAATCTCTAACATTATGCTCTCTCTGCTTTTTCTCATAGTAGCTTTGCCTCATCTGTTCCTGTTTGGCTGTGACCCCATCCTGGAGAGAAATATCAGCTGTTCTGCTGCCATCAACACCTTTGTTTATAGATGTTTGAGATCTGCCTTTTTTTCCAGTGTAGTCCTGTTTCTCTGACTGTGACTGGCTGGATGTGCTCTCTTCATCCTCTGACATGGGAGTTGGCTCAGAGATCGTCGGCCTCGCTGTGTGTTTCCTGGACGGGGCCACCTTTAACAGCTGCTGTTTGTATCTCTGCTTCTGTCTCCTTGAACCCAGTCAGCCTCAGCAGATGGCCGCTCACACTGATCCTGGTTCTGCTGGAGGTTTCTTCCTGTTAAAAGGGAGTTTTCCCTCTCCACTGTCGCTACAAGCATGCTTAGTGTGAGGGATTGTATTTGAGTCAATGAGTCGATGCTATCAACTAGTTTTCCTTAGATAGAAAACTTTTAATCAATTTGACTGTATGATCAGGTGAAATGTAAAGTGCCTTGAGATGACGTGTTGTGAATTGGCGCAGTAGAAATAAACTGAATTCAATTCAATTTATTATAAAACAGAAGATCGAGAGCGAGGGGTGTCAAACTCATTTCTGTATCCGACAACTTCTGCAATATCGAGTCTTGTAAAAGGTCCAGCTGTAGCTTTCATTTTCATAAGAGCATTATAACTTTTCTCTCATTTATTTAGCAGTTTTAGCCACTTTGAACGCCATATAAAAACTAATGCCTCTATTTATGACATGATTTGCCTTTTTTATGCTCTTGTGGGCATGAGGCCTTCAGTTTCACACAGGTGAACAAGATGAATTAGATGTGGACCAACTTACTAACTTAAGAGATTCACTTCCATACAGATAGCCCATATTCTTATCTTCAGCTACCACAGTATAGGTGTCAGATTAAAGAATACTACTTAATAGCAATAGTATCAAGGTGTTACTTTAATTTATGTCTCGTAACATGTCCGTCTTCATTTTATCTCCTCTTTCCTTCATTTTTTCTCCTTTTCTTTCTGTTTTTCCTTTCCGGTTCTACTTACATTACAGTGTCCATATAATCTCTAATACTCCCTTCATGAATTATAATAAAGTTATTTATATCCATAAATCAAGTGTGACACTATGGTGATAGGCATACTGCTCCACTTGTGAAAGCAAATTCTGTTGGGTTCTTTTTTGCATCAAGACAATTATTCTTATTGCCACATTGCCACACAGGATATAGTTAAAAAAATAAAAGATGTGGGGACTAAGATGGCCATGGAGGAAGGTATTGGTGCATCTGATGAACCCTATATGGGTTTATTCGGTTGGATGTTTATTTATCCATTTCTTCATTTAAAGAAAAACATGACTGTTTTTGTTTTGATTTCTATTAAAAGGATTTGTATTTATGTACCCAGGGCTGCCAGCTTTTTACCAAACCTTGGGGTGAGATTCTGAGATAGTTTGGACAGGAAACCCTGTCAGGATTCGATCAAAAGTCTCTGAGGAAAGGTGCAGCTACAGGTTGGAGGTTTTCAGAGCATTCAACTGAAACTAAGTAGCAAAACGTGGAAATAATATAGCACAGTAAATGTTACTGAACAACAAGTGATCCGTAGTTATGTGGAACATTTTTCTCACAATATACATTATGTTCTACATTCTGGTGATTTTTAGAGAATTGAAGTAAAGCAGAATGGGCCCTACTAAAATACTTGCATATTAAATATACTGTAAACTAACAATTTCACAACTTTGTTTATTAATTATTCTCTGCAGGTCAAGTTAATTAAACAATGAGGAACTAATAAGCTATTACTGGATTACTGGCACTGATACAGGAACCAGTGCAATGAAATGAAAATGCAAACTACACTGTGTATGAATACCTGGTAATATTGGTAATCATTCATTATGTTATTAGTTTTTCTTACATTTGCAAAACGGCTAAACAATTCAGACCTTCTAGGAGGCGTAGATTTTTTTTTAACTCACCATGACAGGAGACAGCACTTCTCTGGATGTTTCATTTAGAAAATATGATGGAAATTAAAGGAGAATTCCGGTTTTTTACACTTTAAGCCCATTTTCTGTAGTGTCCAGGATGAAATCGAATGATCGACACCAAAAGTTTGACAATTGCTCCTGTCTCTGCTTTTTGGCTCATTTAGAATCCCCCCCTGGCTGCTTCACAATGGCTGCCATAGTGCATGTCCGATAATGTCCTTAAAACAACCTTAAACGTTCTTTTTTTTTAATATGCTACTCACCGTGTCGTCAGCGCTGTTGAATGACGTTCCAAAAAGTTTCGTGAAGAAAAAACGTTCCTGTAGTGTTTTATTTAGCATTTTGTAAATCCCATTGAGTTCTGTTGGAATAGTCAATATTCCCCTGCCACCGGAAACGGAAATGGGGCCTGTTTACACAGTTGTAGTCTTTTCGCTTCACTCTGTGTACTCCGACGTCGAGAATCAAGAATCCACCTTTCGTATTCCATTTTCAGAGTTTTTTAAAGTGTTTAACAGAGACGTTAGCACCTCGATAAACAATTTAATGAAATACCTCGTAGCAACTGTCTTTTTTCAATATCTAGCACAGTGAATAGGTGGGAATATTGACTGGATATGAACCTGGCATGTCCTCCTGTGTTTGCACTAAGGTTGTATTAAAAACTGGATTTTGATCACCATAGTATTTTTACATATAAATAAGTGGAAATGAGTTGAGTTTTAATGTCTGTCTTTTTTTTATTGTGAAAAATTGGGAATATGGAGTGAGAGTGTGTGAAGACACTGAGATGGGTGAGTCTCACTCCAAATGGGTGAGAGTTGACAGCCCTTTGTACCCCAACAAAGATAGGCCTTAGAAGAGAGAGACAGCCCCACAGCATCACAGATCCTCCACCATGTTTAACAGGGGACATTAGGTCAGATTAGGGGTGTACACCAAAGTTATTGGGATTTTCGTTTATTTGTGTATTTTTTAGGGAAAATGCACAAATAGAAAGAAATATATCATTTATGAGTCTATTTATGATCAAGGAAATTCTGAACTACAAAGGAAAAGTAGAAACAGGCCCAGTGGAAGGGAAGGCTCTAACAGGCCCAATGGGAACCATATAAGGTCGGTGGGATTAGAAGCAAAAACGTCTAAAAGCGGAAAAGAAGTGAAATGGAACCAGATCTCTACGGGGGAACCAAACTCGACACAACACCTGCAGCAGCTAGCTTACCTCCACTGAGCTCTGGGCTTCCCGACCTCCAAGTATCCATCGCAGCATGATCAAGGCTGGGAAACCAACCACTCTCTCAGTCAGTCAGAGTGAAATAAGGAAAAATCTCATCTATAACAGCGTGTTTTTCTGTCAACTTCAGGCTGCATCAGTGGATATACCTTTAAATCATCGGAAAAATCGAGAAATCGGACTGCTATTTAAGCAATTTAAATGTGACACAAATATCAAGAATCTTATTTTGTGCGAAGAACAAAACTACGATAACACCTTGTCAGGAATAACGCTATATAACATGAGAAAAAAAATATGAAACGACAACCACAACAAACCATTCATGTGACTACGGAAGCTTTTCAGGGACAAGCTAAACTAAAGTCGATTGCTATTTGGGACGTTAATCCACGTGACATCACAGTTTGTATTAGAAATGTGGACATTTACTGATTTTATTTTACTGATCATACATATAAAAGGTTAATGTAACAGTGGTGCTTTGTGGATAATGACCATCTGATCATCTGACTATAAAACTGGATTCAGACATGAGCTGACATGTTGGCTCTAAGTTGTCATCTAACTATCCCTCCTTTAGCCTCACTGAGTTTCTGGTCTCTAAGTAACAGATTTTGTAGACCTTAATTTTATAAACTCTATAGAAAAGTTTTCCTAGATTGATAAAATCACTAAAATCATCTTAACTTCTCTTTTAATGTAGACATACTGAACTATGTTGTCTTTTAAATAACTTAAAGCAACTGCATAGGTAAAAAAAAAATCTAAATAAAACAAACAGCAATTTATTCCATTGATCCCTTTATATATTTATACAACAATTCTGGGATTTATTAAGGCTATCAGCCCTATTGATTGTGTTAGTCTGTCTGGTCTTAGATCAACAATATTGTCATTAGAGTCACATTTAGTCCAAACCTCTTTGAGTTAAAACCTATGTAAACTATATCTATTATCTGGGTAGAGTTCCCAACAATTAAACTAAAGTAAGGGTAGCCTAATTTTTAATGTATTTCTATGAAAGTAAAAATAAAGAGTGGCCATCCAGGAAATTAGTCAAGCAAGTAATTGGTATGAAGGCTACTCAAGTACTGAGTAACAAATCATTGCATTTCCTTTACTTTATAAAACAATATAACAATGGAGACAGAATTATAAAGTTTGGTAGGGTTTTTTTTCTTCAAAATCTGCTGTTTTATAGATAAAAAAAAATGCAAGCTTAACTGCAAGCATAAAACCTAAGAAATCAATACTAACTGCATGCAATACACTGTAAACACATGGACATAATTGTTGGTGCCTCTCTTTTATTGAAAGAAAAACACACAGTGGTCCTAGAAATTACTAAAATCTAACAAAAGTGATAACAAAGAAAAACACCATAAACATAATCAAATCAAAGTCAGATGTTGCTTTTTAATCATGCTTGATCATGAGTGATTTAATAAAGAATTATCTCATGAAAAAGGCCTGGATAAAAAAAAAGTTAAAGCTGAATCAAGATATCAAGATTAAAAGCCAAAGAGTCTCACACCACAATGTCAATAAAAGTCTTCATGCATAAATTTGACTTTTTTTAAATTATTATCATTTCTTTGCACTGATTTTAATTTAAAACAAATGTATTTTGTTAATTAATTTAAAGGTTTTGAAGAGAGATAATAAAGAAATTTGACAGAGGACAAGCTTTTTAGCTACAGTAAATTAAAAAGTAGAAAATAACAACAGATTATTGCTCATTGCCTTGGATCTGGTCTTGTGTTGTCAACATCCCATAACCTGTGGCTCTTAATGTCCCATATATCTGCTTGGTAGTTCAACCCTGGCTGCAAACCAGTTCCTATAGGCAAACACCAGCTGCAGCCTCTTTTCCAGATAATGTGGGTATTTATTGGTCCCTTTTTTGGAATCCAAATCCAGATTATTTAAAAGTGTCAAGAAATACAACAGTGGTAGGTTTAAGAAAGTGATGGCCCAAGGTGAAGGTAGGCATTGGGTCATTTGAAATGAGAATACAACATACAAAACAACAGGCAAATTACATCTAAACAAATGGTTTGGAATTATATGTTTTTAAAACCTCAGGAGTATTATCTGAACAAATTTATCTCAATTTGGAGTCGGGATAAAGGTTGTATTCCTGTATCTACAACAGTAATATCCTTTATCATAATAAACAACTACATTACATATTAAATGTTATAATAAAAATTAGAAGTCTAATTATTTAAGGTTGTATTTTCTTTATGGGGTCTTGACTTTCATGGCAGGATCATGGGATTCATTATTCATATCTGATTTCTGTGTACAGACATTTATATGGCTTTATTTCACCTCTGTTAGTTTGAAGAAGCTGTTTTCAGCTGCAATATTCACTAAATTCAAACTGCTGAACTACATTCGTTGTTTATGAATTTACGTACCACATCAGCTGGAAAATTATAATAATTTTTTAATGTTTTTGATTATTATAAGATACCAAATTTTGTTTTTTGTTTTTGGTGGGGAAACTTATTCATTCATATTTTTATTTTTCTATTTCTAAGTATTTATCACCTGTACTGTATTAATAAGTTATTTCAGAGAAGTTAATCATCTTTTAATCATCTTTAAATATCCCCAACGGAAATCTGGAACTGTTTTCAGTCAGGTTTATAAGGGGTGCTATTCATAGTTTAACCACTAGATGACAGTATGAACTAGGGACAAATGCTGTGATGGAAGAGCTAATAGTTTACACTGAAAAAAATAAAGCAACGATTTTTGGCATTTACCTAATCATATTTAGTAACTTTAATACAATTGTTTCATGTTAGCAGGGTAGGTCATAAAACAGGTGTGTTAAAGTAACTAAACATGATTAAGTAAATGCCAAATGCGGTAGCATTATTTTTTTCAGTGTATCCTGGGTGTTTCCTTAGTTATTACATAAATTACACAAAGAATGATTAGAGAATTGTTTGTCTTTCATTCATTTCAAACCCAATCAGCATTTCTTCTACTTCTTACTTCTCCTCCTGGCATTATATCCCCTCTGCTCCCATCCCAGACCTCCTTCCTCCTCTCCAGCCAGCCTTTCCTTCTGATGAACCTCCTGACAGCACTAACATATACAGTGCACACTCTCACAGAGTCACACATCAACCCCGGTCTTGTCTGCCTCTGCTCCCCCGATTGAGACGACATGCAGTGTGGGCCCTGTGACCTTCATGGTGGCTCAGATCTGCGGCTGGCACTGATTTCTGATTTAGTGTCGATCCGCTGCGCTTGTCAGAGGCTGCGAGGTGTTTTCCATGCGGTAATAGAAAAGCTCAAGGGCAGCTTGAGAAGAGGAGAAGGGTTAGGGAGAGGGATTGGATGACGTGAAGTGAATGGCTTTTAAATGTGAGGCTGTGTTTGTTTTACTGCACTTACCAGCAGGTATCTGAGCAGAGGGATCATTTGAGTGAATGAAACTGTTTGCTTTGCTCTTATTGCAAAAGATGAGAATCAGAGGCGTAGCCAGAACATTTTTATAAGGGGGGCCAGGCAATAACCAATGTACACTGAGGGGTAGGGGTGTAAATCCCACCCATCATGGCGATTTGATTCAGTATCAATTTCCTGAAACGACTTGATTATTTTCGATACTCAAGAGTACACCACGATACGATTCGATTAATTGTTTGTTTTTGTTTTCTTTACCTTAACGGCTACACAATGTTTCAAATTTGAAATAAATTAATGAAAGCTGTAATATCGTTATGCATTTTATTTGAGAAACAACAGAAAAGTAGCAAAGTTGTACTCCATCTAGGCCTATGAAAACCTCATTCACTGAAAAATAATAATGCCTCTGTGTTTACATGGGTGTGTGTGCAAGCGGAAAAAGGGTAGTGGCTAAAGGAAGCGAGGTAGGAGGGCAAAATAGGTTTAGCGCCAAAGCAGCACTAGAGTCAGAATACGTCCAGGACCAAATGGATAAAAATAGACCAGAGGGGAAAAAAACATGAATTGATACTCTTGCGGGCGTGTCGATGCAGCGGATCGTCGGCTGTTGGATCGATGCATCGATACAAAACGATTATTATTTACACCCCTATTGAGGGGTGGCCGAAAGCGGATAGGAACCAGAACCTCAGGGCCAGTCTACAATGTTCTAATAGGAAAATGAACGAGCAAAACATCCATATTTTCTAAATAAAACTAACTATACTTTCCTACAGCCTTTGCTAACAAAATGACGCATATATTTAAACATCCATGCTTTTTAGATAAAAGGTAAAGGGGATAAAATCCTTCAGGTTTGAGTTCTGGGGCGTAAATCAAACATCATTTTCATTACTTACCTACTTTTATCACTAATCATCCCGCATTAAATTTATATTTACAAGTACTATTATCTACATAAATTGATTATTTAATACGTTTTTATTAAAATAATTATTTATCTATGATTTCACTGAAGACTCCTAGATGACATACAGAGACACATTATTTTTTCTTTACCCCATAAAACACTAAATCTATTTATGAAAAGATCATGAATTCTGTACTTATCATCTTTAATGTCAGTATATTGATGTGCATAATTAACCACAGTGTTTTTGTTATCAAGTAATTATGACTATATGAAAAAATTGAAAAATAGCAAGTAATATATTTATATATATATATATATATATATATATATATATATATATATATATATATATATATATATATATATATATATATATATATATATATATATATATATATATATATATATATATATATATATATATATATATATATATATATATATATATATATATATATATATATTAAAATGTTTTGAATATTCCACTTAATCATTGGAGGGGGAAAAATGGTAGGGGTGGCCACAGGGATGGTCAATGATTGGCTAAGGGTGGCAAAGGCCACCTCTGGCCCCCCATCTAGCTCCGCCCCTGATGAGAATGTGATCTGATTTAACAGGTAAGAAGTTTGAGGCTGTATTTTCACACCGGCTGATGTTAGTAAAGAGTTAAGAGATGTTTTTTATGTAAAAATGTGTGCAGAGTGCATTATGGTAGTATTTGTACAAATCCATAAATGACATAAGTTTCTTAACTCTAAAGTTGCTTGAAAAGACCAATGTATGCCATCAACACTGCATTTATTTGGTCTGAAAGATAAAAAAAATTTAAACAGAAAAGATCAGAACCCATTGGTTCTATTGCAAAGGATTGATTTGTATTGTACAAAATCTTTGATCCCTCTTGTTTATTTGAATTAATCATCAATTTAGATTAAAAGTGTTTGCTACTCAAGGCTTAGCCCCTACCTGTTGGCAATGGGAATAATGTTGAATTA